CCTATTTCCGATTTTTTAAATTAAAAATATATCTTATCAGAAATTCATAATGTTTTTAGAGAAATTTTAAGAAATGTCACTTTTCAAGTGCACTTTTCAAAAATGCCACCTTTTCAAAATCTTGTAAAAATGCCATTTTTCAAAATTATTTTTTCATTATATCATTTATATGTGGGTTAACTATGTTGTATTAGAGTTTAGTTTTGAGGGTTTAAGGGGTTTTAGGGGTCAAACTATTTTTGGAGCAATTGTAAAAATGCCATTTTTGGTGTATACATTTGCAACTTAAAGGTGTCTATTTTCAAAAATACCACTAATTATAGATTTTTAAAGCCTAAATCTTAAAATTATAAAGCCTAAAAAATGTTTTGACCCCTAAAACCCCTAAAACCTTCAAAACTAAACATTAATACAACATAGTTAACCCAAACATAAATGATATAATAATTTTTTTTTTGAAAAAGTGGTATTTTTGCAAAGATTTTGAAAATGTGATATTTTTGAAAAGTGGTATTTTCTAAAATTTCTCAACATTTTTTGGTTTATAATTTTAAGATTTAAGTTTTAAAAATTCATAATTATTGAAATTTTTGCAAATGAACACCCCTAAGTGGCATTATTGTAAATGTACACACCAAAAGTGGTATTTTTGCAATTGCCCCCATTTTTTATTACTCTCAAATGAAATACAATATAAATGAAATATATTTCTTATTATAATTTTGTATTTATAACAATAAATACTCAAATATTCTTGTATTTACTACATTTAATCATTTATTTACATATTTTCGTTTTTTTATTTAATTCTCTTTTTGTAGTTATAAGTAACAATAAATATACTTAAACATACATGAAGTAAATAAACATTAACTTATTGATATGATTACACACATAAATCCACAAAACCAAATGCAAAACCAATTAATTTCAAAGGCAAAACAACTTGAAGAACAAGACCAGTTTGTATGAAGCAAAAAATTGTCCAATCGCTAGTCCAAACAACACTCCAGGACCATATCCTATCGCTGCTGCTTTCCAGTTCAACACTTCTTGCTTTAGTACTTTTGGATGTTGTGTTGATAGTACATTTTTGCCATTGAAGCAACTCTCTTGAAGAGGAAGACCACAAAGATTGATATTCCCTTCAAAACATGATTTAGGTTGTCCTCCAAACTGCGTACATTGCGGTATCTGTCCAATGAGTTTGTTATGTGAAATGTCGATATACTCCAAGAACGAGAGAGTTGCCAGCTCTTGTGGAATTTTTCCAGAGAGTTGGTTTCGAGATAGGTCTAGCGACTGCCAAAGATAATGGAATATGACCGTCGAAACCATTGTTTGATAGGTTGAACACGATCAGCCACTTCAAAAGACCTATCGATTCTGGAATCTGTCCACCGAGTTTGTTTCCAGAGAAATAAATTGCTGTGTAAGTCTCTAGGATCTTTTCCAGCTCCATGTTAAGTCCTTTGTTTATCAAATACATGGAATGGTTATAACCATACACGTAACTATCTCCCCATGCACATGACATCGTCTTCGGGAATACTAATCATCAAGGATGTACTCCGATTGACAAAGTAATTTGTTGGTAGACTTCCGGTGAAGTTGTTACGCGATATGTCGATTATCCAGACTTGTGTTTTAAGAACCTAAACCTTTCTTTATGAAATCAAAGAGGATTATACGAAATCTAGTCAAGTTTATCCTCAAAACCTTGACTAGCCAACAAGATCTTTGAACCTAGACACTCTACAATTCAGGATAAAACTTCTAACTGACATGAGGGTCTCTTTATACTAGAGCCCATTAACAAACACCAATACACTCGATAAGAACTCTAAACCAATCATTGTCTTCTATTCTGCCAGCTCACTTACTCCTCCTCTGCCTCATCACTTGTCTTATGCTTCTTCCTCTGTTTCTTATTCTCCTCTCTATCATTGTGGAAATGATAGAGGATGTTGAGGAAAATAGATTGGACCGTGGAATTTGTTTGATCTTAGGACAATGACTTTTAGTTTCGGTAGATCCTTGAGCCAAAATGGAAAGGTGTCACTGATTCTATTGCTCTCAATGTTTAGAATCTCCAGGTTTGCGCAATTTACAAGAGAACTTGGAAGCTTCCCGGTTATTTAATTGTGACCAACGTCAAGTGTTATTAGTGAGCCATTCTTATCGAAAATGTCGGGAAGATTCCCTATGAGATTGTTGTTACGGAGATTCAAATATTCTACTGATTTACTCAAGCATCCGGGGATGGAACCGCTGAAATTGTTGTGAGATAGATAAGGACACCTAGATAGCTTTGGTTGCACAATGACAGAGGTATTTCTCCTGAGAAATTGTTGTTTGATGCAAACATGAAGAACAATCTTGGTGAAATAATAGGAAGAGGTCCTCGAAAAACGTTTGACCTCAAATCTAACGTGCCAAGCGACGAATTAACGAGAATTTTCGGCGAGCCTTCGAAACCATCGAGGTAGTTGTGAGAGAGAATTACTCCTTGCAAATAAGGCAGATTCCACAACCACTCAGGGACTTGTCCTTTGAGTTTATTGTGTGAAATGTACAACACACGCAACTTCTTTAGGTTTTTAATAAATGTGGGGAACTCGCTCATGTTGCAGTTATACAATACTAGTTCTCTCAAATTTGGTGAATCGGTATCAAGCCTTGATATACTATTTCCGGAAAGATACATAGACTCTAGTGACTTGAATCCCAAGGAAACGAAGTTGATTGGATAGGTTGTGTTTTGAAAAGATAGGTCAAAAATTTTTAGATTGGGTAATTTTGAGATAGGCGATCTAGGATTCGACCACTGAAAAAATTATTTCTAAGTTCTAACCATTCAAGCTTATGTGATGATAATGAAGAGCAATTCAAAGTTTCAAGAGAGTCCATGAGATGGTTTTGGCTCAAATCAAGATGTGTCAAGAAAGGCATGTTGAGTAGGGAACAAGGAAGGTTTCCAGAAAAGTAATTATAGGGAAGATCTAAAGAAGAAAGCTTGGTTAGATTACTGATCGAGGATGGAATTTCGCCGACTAAGCCCATAAAAGAAAGATCCAAGACCTCTAATTTGGTGAGTTTGCCTAGTTGGGCAAGGAAGGAAGATGAGTAGAAATGATTGTAAGAGAGATCGAGATACCTAAGGTGGTGGAATCTGAAAAGGCTACTATTAGCATTGAGAGTGCCACTGAGACATGCACCACGTAGGTCTAGTTTCGTCACTAGACCGGTCTTACTGTCAAATCCAACCCCATCAAAAGAGTTAAGGTCTTTGTTGGTCCAAGATTTTGACATTGGTTTTGAGGTAGGCCACTCAATGAAGTTGCATTTGGGGTTTGGAAACTCATCCTTAAAAGACAGAAGGATCTTGATTTGGTCGGGACGAGGAAATAAGTTGGAGGCAAAGACATAACACAAGAAACTGAAACACGGTTTCACCATTTGAAACAAAACAAGAGATTGAAGAAGAAATTTGGTATGTATGATTTGGTTTTGCAGCCAAACAAGTTTTTTTAACAATATATAATGATGATAAGAGTCAAAGTCACATTGCTTGACTCTAAAATTATTGAAAGTTTCCACTTTGTGTATAGCTCACATTTATTTCACAAGATCGATAGCAACTCTAAGGATTAAGTGTGGACCAATGAATTGTATTCAGAATTCACTACAAATCTAGTTGGAGAAATGTAGTTGTAGATGTGGATTTCTTGACATGACAAAGTCGATTATACTATA